CAGGGTTCTCAGAATCTGCCATGGCACTGCTATTTTAGGCAGAAAAGGACTCTGGGAACATCCGGACGGCCTAAGGAGCGGGTCCAGGTGCGGCCAAGAGAGCCGCAGTGAAGGGCCACGAAGGACTGTTGTCCGGGATGGGCGGCGCCTCAGGCGAACACCGCAGCTCTGGGCCCGGGGCCCAAAGCCGTGGGCCTTTCCTTTCGGGGTCAGGTGAGACTCCCATCACCCCAGCAGTAGGAGGGCACCTGGTGGGCTTGGCTTCTGGCCTGTCCTGGCCTTCAACTCCCCCCCCCCCAGCCAGAATCATGCTCTGGGTCTTCGCCTGGCTTGGTGCTGGGGGGAGGGGATGTGTGCCAGCTATGATTATAGTCATCCAACCAGAGACGCTTGGTGAAGCCGCCTGTGACCGCTTTGGGAGAAGGCCCAAGTGCTGGCTGGAAGATGAGCTAACTGTAGGTGTGAAGAGGAAAGACCCCTGGAGCGGGTGCTATGTGAGCCCGAAAGCTACTGGAGGCAGCTGGGTGGCTCAGTGGGTAAAGCGCTGGGCCTGGATTCCAGATAGACCCGAGTTCAAGTTTGGCCTCAGACCTAGCTGTTTGACCCTGGGCAAGTCACATAACCTCTGTTTACCTTAGTTTACCTTAATCCACTGAAGAAGGTGTTAAGGACTGTGAAGGGGTTCCTTGAACTTGTCTTTTTGAGTTGCCCTATTTTCCAGAAATACTGGACCCAGAGCTTGCAGGAGGCCCTTGTGTGGGATGCCACTCAAATTAAAAATAAAAAAAAACACAGAGGTGTCCAAGGAGAAACAGAAAGTTGATTTATTATAGCTATAATTATTATTATTATTTCAAATCTCAAGATTTGGGTGTCCCTCCATCAGTAAGCTCTGATAACGGGAGACAAGGGACATAGACACATAAGCTGGCTTAAATAATAAAAAAAATTCCTCCTCCCCCACAGCTGCCCGTTAATTCGGCTCACAGTCTCACATGCCAGACTCCAACACAGGACAAAGGACGAAGTATACGTCTCTATATTTTTTAGTTTGTTGAGATAATGTCAAAGAAGCAATAAAAAATGTGCAGTTAGGAAGATAATTTACAGTTGTTTTTGGGAGGTCTCAGGGATTGAATAGATAATGTTGGGAACAGAAAGACATCTGAATAAAACCCTGTCAAAGGGAGATAAGGGGACTTGAACATTTAGGGGTTCTCCGGGACTTGGGACAAAAGGCACATCAAGACAAGATCAGAAGGCAGGCCAGGGCTTAACAACCAGACGAATTTTAACTGCTAATATTTGGCACTAAAAAGAGAAGATCTTACAGTAATCTATTCTTAAGCCTATCCTGTGTTCTGAACTCACTACCTTAATGACACTGAGCAGCCTTCACTGGGACATGCCATTGAGCCTGAAGGTGTCAAGGGTGAAGCACTCTATCCCACCCCCACCCCACCCTCCAGCTGACATAGTTTGTTGCTTGCGCCCCAAGCTGGATTCCCTACGTGTCCTTGGGAGGCAGGACAGGCACCAGCCTGGCACAGACAGGTTGGGAAAATGCTTGTGCAGCTGGGATCCTTTGTATGTAGAAGCCAAGCCTCCTGTCTTCATAGTGTGGAAGAATGTGGCTTTTTGTCACCTTGCTCCTCCCCTTCCAGAGGGGTTTTGTCCTTTTCCCACCTTTACGGAAACTTCCCCCCTCCCATGCCACGTCTCTTCCTGGTATGTCCTCCTTCCTTTATCCCACTGTTATAAATATGCAAACTTCTGTGTGGGCTGTGAACTCTGGATTCCACATGCAAGTTTATTTCTCTTATAATAAACCTGATTTTCACACAAGTTTCATGTCTTTGTGATTGCCTCTTGACAAAGAAAATGGTGGAAGACTCTAGTATCTTTGCCAAGACGAAGTCATAAAGAGTCAGGCTGAACAATAACAGCAAAGTTTCAATCAGTCCAGTATTAATAATCACAGGAACTAATATTTATGCAGGGCGTCCCCAAAGCCTGTTGTTCAAATGCAAAATATAGGGACCGCTAGGTGGCGCAGTGGATGGAGCTCTGGCCCTGAAGTCAGGAGGACCTGAGTTCCAATCCAGCCTCAGACCAAACACTTGACACTTACTAGCTGTGTGACCCTGGGCAAGTTACTTAACCCCATTGCCTAAAACAAACAAACACAACAAATGCAGAACGCAGCTTGCCAAAAAGACTGTTTTATGGATAACTGACACCGGGCAAGTGCTCCCAGAAGAAGTGGTACAAGGACACTCTCAAGGTCTCTCTGAAGAACTTTGGAATTGATTATGTGACAGGAGAGGCACTGGCACAGGACGGCCCGGCGTGGCATGCCCGCCTCAGAGAAGGTGCTGTTCTCTGTGAGCAGAGCAGAACGGAAGCAGCTCAAGAGAAATGCAGGCTGAGCAAACTTGGACTGTTTGTGCCCGCCTGTGGTAGAACATGCCGAGCTTGTAGTGCTCTGATCAGCCATGGTCAGCCATGCCAAATCCTGAGTCTAACATCATGATGCCCTTGTGGTCCTCTTCAGGAGCAAAGGACAGCATCCTGTACCAACCAACAGTTTTAGCTTAAAAGTTCTAAAGCTGTCATTTGCTTAAAACAGTGTTGAACTAAAACTGTACTAAGATTTGTGGAGCACCCTATATCACCTTATCATCTCCACCTCCAGAAGAGGAAACTGAGGCTGAGAAAGATTATGGGACTTACCCAAAGTCACATAGCTAGCAATCAACCAGTAAACATTTATTAGGTGCCAAAAATGTGCCAGGACAGTGGTAAGTGCTAGAAGTAGGGAAAGAGACCCTGAAGCAGTTTATAATATGATGGGGGAGAAAACATGCAAGCAAATGTATGTGTGTGTGTATATGTATATAGATAGATAGATAGATAGATAGATAGATAGATAGATAGATAGATAGATAGTAAGCTACATGTAGGACAAATAGAAATTAATGAACAGGGGGAAGGCTCTGGAATTTAGAAGGGTTGGGGAAAGCTTCCTGTACAAGGTGAAATTTTAGTTAGAACTTAAAGGAAGCCAGGGAGATGAGTGGTTGTGTCAACAGGCCATCACAACTTCACAAAACTTAAATGAAAACTAGGTTTATGACGAGAGAAATGAACTTGCACGTGGAACCCAGAGTTCACGGTCCATACGGAAGTTTGCATATTTATAACAGTAGGGTAAAGGAAGGAGGAGACCCCAGAAATCTCCACCTAAAAGGGTGTGGCGTGGGAGGGGGAAAGGTGCAGTAAAGGTGGGAAAAGGACAAAGCCCTCCTGGAAGGGGAAGAGAAAGGTGATGGCAAAAGCCACATTCTTTTCCCTTGGGAACTGCTAGACTATGAGGATAGGATGGTTTGCTTATCTACACTGATCCCAAGCCTAGTGCAGGCTGACTGGCACCTGTCTTGAATCCAGCTTGGGGCACAAACAACAAATTATGGCAGCTGGGGGGAGGTTTGTCCTTGATGCATTCGGGGCCTCCTGCATGCTTCTGGGTCCAATGTTTCTGGAAAATATGGCAACTCAGAAAGACAAGTTCAAGGAACCCCTTAACAGTTGGAGTGGAAGAGGAGAGCATTCCAAGCATGGGGGACAGCCTGAGAAAATGCCGGCAGCTGGGAGTCTTGTTTGTGGGACAGCCAGATGGCCAGTGTCACTGGATTGAAGAGTATGTGTTGGGGAGTAAAGTCTAAGAAGACTGGAAAGGGAGGAGGGAGCCACTGGAATGATCAGTAGGGGGATGATACGGTCAGATCTGCGCTTTAGAAAAATCACTTCAGTGGCTGAATGGAGAATGAACTGGAGTGGGGAGGGACTTGGGGCAGGCAGGTCTCCAAAGCAGCTATTGCAATAGACCAGGAATGAGGTAATGAGGGTCTGCATCAGGGCGGGGACAGTGTCAGAGGAGAGAAGGAGGGGTATTGGACAGATGTTGTGAAGGTTAAACCAACGGGCCTTGGCACCGTCTTGGATATGAGGGTGGTGAGAAAGAGTGAGAAGTCCGAGATGATTCTTGGGTTGTGAGCCTGAGGGACTGGGAGGATGGTGTTACCCTCAACAGCAATAGGGAAATTGGGAAGGTGAGGAGAGTTTGGAGGGAAAGATGAGTTCCATTCTGGACATACTGAGTTTTAGATGTCTACTGGACATCCAATTCAAGATGTCGGAAATGTAGTTGGAGATGTGAGATTGGAGAGCAGGAGAGAGATGGGAGCAGGAAAGTTAAATTTGAAAATTATCAGCATAGAGATGACAAATTAAATCCGTGGATGCTGGTAATGGTTGTTGTCCTTCATACTTAAAGAGGAGCAAAATGACATCAGTGTGTTGGGGTCAAGGTACAGTGTGTCCAATTGTGGCTGATCAGACTCAGAAGGCTCTACCACAGGCCAGGCACAATTAGTCCATATGAACATTTGGAGATGCGTAGGCCAAATCCCAATGCTGCTTCAGTCCAGTGAAAAGGTGACCCTATGGCTTGGGCTGCCTATGTGCAGGGTTGTGACTGCAGCTCCCAGTGTATCTGCACCTGCTGCTTCATCACCATAGGATGCTGAGCTAGGTAAAAATGGTAAGATGGTATAGGTGATGTGTTTTGATTTGTGCATACATTGAATTTAAGTGAGACAGAGATGTGCAAAGTCGTTGGCCTCATTCTCTTTTGCAGAGTCATCTAAGTCCAGTGGCGAGACAAAATTCAAGACAACAGGCAATGACTCGGGACGCAATGGATGACCTTGGTGTCTTCAATGTCGAACCAAGGTCAAAGTGCTCCACAGTGCCAGCTTCTGCCACCCTTGTGACCTGTTGAAACAGATTGTTCACATCTGCCTATTCCACTGGGGATGTCTTCATATGCTTGGGTTAGGGGCAGCTAGGTGGCACAGTGGATAGAGCCCCGGCCCTGGATTCAGGAGGACCTGAGTTCAAATCCGGCCTCAGACACATAACACTTACTAGCTGTGTGACCCTGGGCAAGTCACTTAACCCCATTGCCTAGCAAAAAAACAAAAACAAAAACATATGCTTGGGGTAGACACCCCACCAATTCACTGAAGGGTTGGAGACCCCTCAGTTACCCTTAACCTGGTTTAGCCTGTCTGCCAAAACAGTTTACTGGGTGTGGCCACTGTGTATGTCATAGCTTCTCATAATAGCTGGGAGTTGTGTGGCAGGTGGACACCAAGACGTACTAGTCTTTGCTAAATGTTCATACTGCCCAAGGAAGCTGATGAGATCACCAAGTAAAGTAGTAGTGTACAGGGAGCAAAGAAGTCCCAGGACAGAGCCCTGTGGAATGCCTATGGGTAGAAGACATAATCTGGAAGAGGATCCAGCAAAGGAGACAAAGAAGGAGCAGTCAGAGAGGATGAGAACCAGGAGAGAGTGGTGTCTCAAAAACTTAGAGTGAAAAGAGTAACGAGGATCCTGAGGTAAGACATCTTCCGGATTCCAAATGCCACCTAGTGCCTGCTTTAGAAAGACATTGCAAAGGAGTGTGTATCCAGTTCTAATGACTATTGATGGAGAGTTATTGATAGATTTTCCCTAATTACAAATTAATATTTGGAATGTGATATGTTAATGATATGCATTGGATTATAAGATATATGTTGATCTTCAGTATGTTTATGAGGGCTTAAGAGTAAAGTGTGTATTTGTATCATAGCAAAACTGAAAATTTTAAATGAATAGTAATTACAGGAATATAAAATACCCAAATCAACAGAACATAGAGGTTGTAAACAGCACGATTTCAAAAAATAAAACTGAGCAAATTGCTAATGAACTACAAAAGGAGGAAAAATCCTGTCTATACTTTGCTGCTAGTATAAAAAAGTAGATTAGTTGAACAAACTAGACAAGGAAACCAGAAACAATTGCTCAGCTCCTCAACCCATTGCTCACTGCCCACAAGACCATAAAATATCCATCTGACAAGATCTTTGGGAAAACTTGAAACCAGTTTGGGCAGAAACTTTCTTTTCAGACAACATTGGACTCTATATAGCATAATACTTTCTATATGGTTATACAACCTGAATATAACAGGTCCAACAGCAGACGAATATGAAGATAACTAGATTGGATACCTCCCACAGTTAAGGCTCAGGGAGGAAATTCTCAACCAAACAAGAAATAAAAGTGGTTACGAAAAACAATTTAGATAATTTTCATTTCATAAAAGTCAAAACCTAAAAAACCAAGTCAGCTAGTTGAAGAAGGTCAGTTGTAGAACAAAAGCATTTGCCATGAATAAGAATTTGATTTCTAGGTCATATTGGACATTTACAGAAATGTTTAAGACCGTGGTCATTCTTTCCCCAGTGAATAAGAAGTGGATGCTCAAGGGATATGAACACACAGTTCTGAAAAAGAATCGCAAATTATTTGCAACCATATGAAAATTGTTCCAAATCACTAACAGTAAGAAAAATGGAAATCAGAACAACTCTGAGGTTTCACCTGTGTGATGGAAATTATTTGCATCATATTTTGGATTCATTTCTATCCCTTGTTTGTTAAACCCAGCAAAATGGCAAAGATACAAGAAGATGGAAATAGTGTTGAACAGGCCACAGAAAGGCAGCACACCAATACAGTGTTGGGGGAGGTTTCAGTCATTGGTCCACCTATTCTGAAGAGCTCTTTGTTTTTGTTTTTTGTTTTAATTTTATTAATTTATTTTGATTTATCAACAATCACTTCCATATACTTTTGAGTTTAAAATTTTTTCTCCCCCTTCCTCCCCACCACCCTCCCCAAGATGACGCACAATCTGATACAGGCTATACATTTACATTCCTGTTAAACATATTTTCACATTAGTGGTATTGTAAGTTAAAATTAAAAACCAATAGGAGGAACCATCAGAAAGAGGAAACATAACTCAACAGAAGAGAAAAAAATAGCAGTTGAACTTCCATAATTCTTTCTTTGGATGTGGGTAGCATTTTCCATCATGAGGCCTCTGGAGATGTCTTAGATCCTTGTATTGCTGGGAAGAGTTAAGTTTATCAATATTAGTCATCGCACAACACGGCTGTTATTGTGTACAACGTTCTCTTGGTTCTGCTCACTTCACTCAGCTTCAGACCTTGCATTTTTTTCCAGGTTTTTGTGAAGCCAGCCTGTTCATCATTTCTTATAACACAGTAGTATTCCATTACATTCATATACCACAACTTGTTCAGCCATTCCCCAATTGATGGGCATCCTCTCAATTTCCAATTCTTTGCCACCGCAAAAAGAGCTGCTATGAATATTTTTGTACATGTGGGTCCTTTTCCCATTTGTATGATCTCTTTGGGATATAGCCCTCGAAGTGCTGTTGCTGGGTCAAAGGCTATGCACATTTTTATAGCCCTTTGGACATAGTTCCAAATTGTTCTCCAAAATGGTTGGATCATTTCACAACTCCACCAACAATGCATTAGTGTTCCAATTTTCCCACATCTTCTCCAACATTTATCATTTTCTTGTTTTGTCATGTTGGCCAATCTGATAGGTGTGATGTGGTACCTCAGAGTTGTTTTGATTTGCATTTCTGTAATCAATAATGATTTAGAGCATTTTTTCATATGACTATAGATGGCTTTAATTTCTTCATCCGAGAATTGTCTGTTCATATCCTTTGACCATTTATCAATTGGGGAATGGCTTGTATTCTTATAAATTTGACTTAATTCTCTATATTTTTAGAAATGAGGCCTTATCAGAGAGACTGGTTGTAAAAATTCTTTCCCAATTTTCTACCTTCCTTCTAATCTTAGTTGCATTGGCTTTGTTTGTGTAAAAACTTTTCAATTTAATATAATCAAAATTATCCATTTTGCTTTTTAATGTTCTCTATCTCCTGTTTGGTCATGAATTCTTCTGTTTTCCATAGATCTGATAGGTAAACTATTCCTTGTTCTCCCAGTTTACTTATGGTATCAGCCTTTATATCTAAGTCATGAACCCATTTTGACTTTATTTTGGTATATGGTGTGAGATTTGGTCTATGCCTAGTTTCTGCCATACTCTTTTCCAGTTTTCCCAGCAGTTTTTTTCAAAGAGTGGGTTCTTATCCCAGAAGCTGGGGTCTTTGGGTTTATCAAATAATAGATTACTATAGTCATTGACTACTGTGTCTTGCATATTTAACCTATTCCACTGATCCACATCCCTATTTCTTAGCCAGTACCAAGCAGTTTTGATGATTGCTGCTTTATAATACAATTTAAGATCTGGAATTGCTAGGCCACCTTCCCCTGCATTTCTTTTCATTAGTTCCTTTGATATTCTGGACCTTTTGATTTTCCAAATGAATCTTGTTATTATTTTTTCTAACTCTATAAAATAATTTTTTGGTAGTTTGATTGGTATGGCACTGAATAAGTAAATTAGCTTAGGTAGGATTGTCATTTTTATTATATTAGCTCGGCCTACCCATGAGCAACTGATGTTTTTCCAATTATTTAGATCTGATTTTATTTGTGTGAAAAGTGTTTTGTAATTGTGTTCATAGAGTTCCTGGGTTTGTTTCGGAGGTAGACTCCTAAATATTTTATAATGTCTATAGTAAGTTTAAATGGGATTTCTCTTTCTATCTCTTGCTGTTGGGCCTTGTTGGTAATATATAGAAATGCCAATGATTTATGTGGGTTTATTTTATAGCCTGCAACTTTGCTAAAGTTGTTTATTATTTCAAGTAGTTTTTTACTTGATTCTCTAGGATTCTCTAAGTATATCATCATGTCATCTGCAAAGAATGATAGCTTTGTTTCTTCTTTGCCTATTCTAATACCTTCAATTTCTTTTTCTTCTCTTATTGCTAAAGCTAAGGTTTCCAGTACAATATTGAATAATAGTGGTGATAATGGACATCCTTGTTTCACCCCCGATCTTATTGGAAATGCTTCTAGCCTGTCCTCATTACATATAATGCTTGCTGAAGGTTTTAGATAGATGATATGCTATTATTTTAAGGAAGACTCCATTTATACCTATGCTTTCTAGTGTTTTTAATAGGAATGGGTGTTGTATTTTGTCAAAAGCTTTTTCTGCATCTATTGAGATGATCATGTGGTTTCTGTTGGTTTTGGTGTTGATATGCTCAATGATGCTGATAGTTTTCCTAATATTGAACCAGCCCTGCATTCCTGGTATAAATCCTACCTGGTCATAGTGTATTTTCTTGTGATAAGTTGCTGTACTCTATTTGCTAATATTTTGTTTAAAATTTTTGCATCTATATTCATTAGAGAAATTGGTCTATAATTTTCTTTCTCTGTTTTGACTCTTCCTGGTTTAGGTATCAGCACCATATTTGTATCATAAAAGGAATTTGGTAAAACTCCTTCTTCACCTATTTTCCCAAATAGTCTGTATAGTATTGGAATTAATTGTTCTTTAAATGTTTGATAGATTTCACATGTAAATCCATCTGGCCCTGGAGATTTTTTCCTAGGGAGTTCATCAATGGCTTGTTCAATTTCTTTTTCTGAGATGGGGTTATTTAAGTATTTTACTTCCTCTTCTGTTAATCTGGGCAATTTATATTTTTGTAAATATGTATCCATTTCACTAAGATTGTCAAATTTGTTGGCATATAGTTGGGCAAAATAATTCCTAATTATTGTTTTAATTTCCTCTTCCTTGGTGGTAGCTTCACCCTTTTCATTCTTGATACTAGTAATTTGGTTTTTGAAGAGCTCTTTGTAATTAAGCTTTGAAAAGTGACTAATATGTCCATGTTATTCATTCTTCAATAAACATTTATTAAGCACCTACTATGTGCCAGGCATTGTGCTAAGCACCTGGGATACAAAGAGGCCAACTTCGGTTCCTGCCCTCAAGGAGCTAACAAGCTAACGCGTAAACAAATGCCCACAAAGCAAGCTATACATAAGATAAATAGGAGATAATTAATGGAGGGAAGGCCCTGCAATTGAGAAGGGTTGGGGAAGGCTTCCCTTTAGAAGATGGGATTTTAGTTAAGACTTAAAGGGAGCCAGGGAGGTCAGCAGTTGGGGTGGAGGAGGGAGAGCATCCAGGCTTGGGAACAGCCAGGAGGTCATTGTCACTAGATCCAAGAGTATGTGTCAGGGAGTAAAGGGTGAGAAGACTGGAAAGGTCGGAGGGAGATAGATTGCAGAGGGCTTTGAATGCTGCATTTTGTATTCAATCCTGGAGGCAGTAGGGAGCCATTGGAGTGTACTGAGTGGGGGTGGAGATGACATGATTGAACCTGTGCTTTAGGAAAATCACTTTGGTGGCTGAATGGAGGGTAGACTAGAGTTGGGAGAGACGGGGCTGGCCAAGCTACTGCAATCGCCCAAGAATGAAGTGATGAGGGCCTGCAGGAGGGTGGGGACAGTGTTAGGAAGAGAAGGGACATATTTAAGAAATGCTGGAGAGGTGAAATAGACAGGCCTTGGCACCATATTGG